AGAAAAAAGAAAAAGGTAGAAAACGAAGCATTTTTGAGAAATAATCTTGTAACACGATGTCGCGAGTGCCCGGAGACGTTGGATGTCGTATTTTTTCATAATTTACATCGCGGACATCCCCGTCGACTGCCAATCCTACTTCCAAAATTGTTTATTTTTATACGATGCGAATAGAAACTTGTGTTGAAGTATCCTGTTCTTTTGATTAGAACGTGGCTGGACACGTCGTGTGCTTTTCCTTTGTATAAAATTCGATCTTGCGAATGACGTCGGTTATCCGCGATCTCTTCGACAAGAGGGAGAAGAAGTAAGAGGAAAGAATAATAGAACGAAATCGATATTTCTGTGGTCTAAATGTAAGAAATAATTCCTACGAAGCGGTATCCGATATTTTATTAAACGAGAAAAGAGTAGGAAGGGTTCGAAAATGAGAAAAAAAGAAAAAAAGAAAGAAAGTACGAAACGAAGAAAGCAACACGTACACATGCATTACACCTACTGGAAACGAGTTTAATAAAATGTTACGTGATTTTTATACATCGACTGTTAATTTCTCATTTTTTCTTTTCGTGTGATTTGCGTTTCCCGAACCGTTCACGGTTGCGTTTCTCATTTCTCCTCTCTCATTCTTATTTTCTGTCCATATTTATCTTATTTCTGCGTTTGAAATCGTTTTTAAATAAGTGCATAGAATTAAATTGAACGTGGAAATTCACGATTACGATAATATATCTATTATTTTCATTTATTTTATTTCCTTTCTTGCAATTTCCATCTACGTTTGTCAGTTTCTCCTTTTTTCATTTCAGACTGTTTAAACGCACCGTTTCGAACTTTATTAATCATCCAAGTGCATTAAATCTCGGACATCGTTAATCATCACTGTCGAGGATAAGGGAATTATGGTCACGTGGGTTCCGCATTCGATGACGCGGTGGGGTCGCGTGTCCGCATCTAATTAGAAAATCACATTAACCTTTCGTTGCTTCCGTCTATATTCTTCACAGTTGGTCGTTCATCTTGTGTACTTTCCAAACAGAATGTCAATTTTCAAACATCATTTATTAATCTACTGCCTCTAAAGAACGAAGAACGTCTATCTATTTATATAGTTTTCTTCAAACAATCTCAACCACCTCTGTTTAAGCTCCATTAATTACGTTCAGCTATTATCAAGTTAACATCGTGAAAAAGCGAAGAAATCGCCGCGTGGCTTCTGACATGGTCGTCACGGTCCTGGGGGTTGCGTGTCCACGATTAATTAAAAATCGCACGTCAACCTTTCCTTTTTTCCATTTAAAAGCCCAGTCGTTTCTAACGCGTAAAATCACCTACCAGTTTTAACTTAATTAATCACAAATACGTATTTAATATCTTTCTCGATTTCTAAACTGAATTTCATCAAACTTTTACTTCTCTATAATCTTTTGATTTTAATAACTCTCTTTTAAGTTTTATCGATTATTTACACGTTTATGTTAGGTTAAGTTTATCTTACGTTTGCGTATATTAACTTCATAGGATAGCATCGTGGAGTTGTAAAGATGCCGGTGCCACGTGGTATCCGTGTTGATCGCGACGGTCCTGGGGGTCGCGTGTCCTCACCGACCAATGACCGGACGCACGGTACAGGAGCGTGCCGTGAAAATCTGGCCATGCTACCACGGCCCCCGGCGCGATTCGGCCGCAAGGGCTGTTGCCCGTTGGGATGGCAACGTCGCATTGCAGCGTTGGGGCTGCGGTCGATGCCGCCGTCGTGACGGTGGCGGCATGTCAGGGTGCGAGGTTGCCGTTCTTCGACACGTTCGCTATCTTTTTCTTTCTCTTCTCATTCCGTTCCCTTCTCCGTATCTCTGTGTATCTTTCGTACAAAAAATCTCCGATTTGGAAGGACCAACATCGATCGTCTCCGATCTTTTCCTTTTTGTGTCGGGTGTAACGGGACAGGTCAGAAGGACAGGTAGTTCGAAACAACCGTACAGTCAGGATAAACCGTCGAAATCGAGAGTTATTAATAACCGTGTCTCGAAGCGGTGTGTTTGACCTCGACGAGTTTGAAAGTAGGTAGCTTACACTCTGAAACGATGCCAAGGAGACTCGCTTACTCTATTCGACATTCGTGTAATACATTTATTTTTTCCTGGTGGATCGGTTTTGGGTTTACATCGGTAACCGAACGTTACATTGGTGGCGAGAAAGAGAATGAGAAAAAGAGAAAGAGAGAGAGATAGAGAAATCGGGATCGTCTCGGTTGTTTTTACCTATCAGGCAGAGAAAAAACTCGAGAGGAATCGATCTCTCTCTCAGTCTTCAATCTGTTGCTGCTAGCTTTTCTCGAAAGCTCTTCGACGCGGCTTCGATCCTTTGTTCAGGCAACAACCCTTTTCGTAACAACACACACGCCGGTTGCCAGTTCATTCTCCGGTCGAGCCACCGAGTTTGTTCGACAAAAACGAGACAGCGCGGCTATACGCGCACGTTCGAGGCCCCCCCGATGGCCGCGCCATTGTCCTAGCTCAGGGCCGGGAGCCTCGACGAACACGAGTAGACCACGCAGAAAGACCTGGCCGCAAAAATAGCCCGATTCATACAGGGTGAGTCGAACTCGGTGCGACGGTAGCTGCACTCTTCCGGCGAACTCGACCGGCTGCCG